AGAACCGGTAAATACCACCTCTGACTGCCCCCGCCCCCATATATTCTCTGCCTCCTGAGTCCCAACTGATCAGGAGGAAATGGGGATTTTACAGTATCCTTCCCCTGCCATGCCCACCAAGCCACACCATGCCCACCAAGATATGCTCACAGAACCTGTAGTAAATTTTTTTGAATCCCACCGCTGATGCACATTCTTCACTTCTGGTCTGTTTTATGGAACAAACTCTCCAATTAAGGAGAGGATGAGGCTGTTCTAACCCTGCTTTCCAAGCAGCATCAAAGCCCTGGATCCTTATTGTATATTTTATACATTGTTTCTTGTTTTTAGAAACAATTTTCTATCCGTGTCAAAAAATAGTATGTTGTTTAAAAAAAAAAAATTGGTTCCACTAAAAAATAGCTTCATTCCCCACCCTTTCCCCTCAATAAAGGAAAAGAGATCTGATTTGGGAATATGAAGGAGCAGCCTGATTTTCAGACATACATCACATCTTTTTAAATGCATTGAACAACTGTAGAATCTGTATTCTGTCACGCGTTAAGAAGCCTTTGGACAATTTGATCTCCTGGTCGAAGGACTAAGACTGCGGCAAATGTACATGGCAAATTTTTACTGGCTTAGAGATCCTCTAGAATAGGTTTTACCCTGTGACTGTGCACACACCTGATAGAAGCGTGAAGAGGTCTTAGTTTCTGTAGATAAGACAGCGGAGGGAAACTGATCTAGCATCCAGCTGTTTCAATTGTGCCTTTTTTTTTGTTTTTCCAGTGACCCTGCCAGCTACAATCATGACTTCATCTGTGCCAACCACTGTGGGAGGCCATATGATGTACCCCAGTTCTCATGCAGTGATGTATGCTCCTACATCGGGCCTCACAGATGGTGGCCTTGCGGTTCTCAATGCCTTCTCCCAGGCCCCATCAGCAATGCAGGTTTCACATGGGCAAGTCCAGGATCAGGGTAAGACTGGACCCAGATAAGTTTGATGTTTGAACAACCTACATTGCTTACTGCCCATCTGATTTCTCTTTCTCTAGCTATACATACATACATACATACACCCCAACACTGGAAGTCTTTAAGAAGATGTGGGATAGCCATTTGTCTGAAACGGTATAGGGTTTCCTGCCTAGGCAGGGGGTTGGACTAGAAGACCTCCAAGGTCCCTTCCAACTCTGCTATTGTTTTATTGTATTATTGTAAACATAGCATAAAACAGCATTTGGTTCTCAACCAGCAGAGTTTTTCTAGTTCAACGTGGGTACCTTACTGTATCTGTCATAAATTCTTTAAGCAATCCATATTTTTTCCTTAGCTGCCACAGTAGCCACATGAACTCAAGAAAATAGACACTTGAGATGTATTGCCTGTATAATAGTATTGTTTTCGGGTTTACTGAACCTAGAAACAAACCTTGCTCTCTTCTTAAATTTGCTAAAATGTGACTCAAAGTAGAAACAAGGAAGGAAATCAAGAAAGAGGGTCATTTTCAGTTAGCTTGCTTAAAGTTTAATATAGATGAATAAGGGATGTGATCTGAGGATTTACATGCAGAGGATGTACACAGTGGCTTTGAGTTTTAGGCAATAATTCAGAAGAAGGATTTGATTGAGGCTTCCTTATCCTGTTTATTATGGTGGTCACAATGGTTTCCTAACCCAATTTTTGTAAAAACCACAACTTTTCAGTCCCCAAAAGGAGATGCTGGTCATTGCATAGGCTGCTGGGATATACATTATAACGGAAGGAATTAAAAATGATTCCCAAATCACTTCAGAGTCTATTCTCCTAGTGAGGTTTTTGTATGAAAGAGGAAGATCACATCGTGTATTAATGCATGAATTGTTTAAACTTTAAACTTTAAATAAATTGAATTAATTCCAATTGACTAGATCTACCAATATGCAACACATATGCTTTACAAACTACAGTGGCTGGGTTCACATAACTTTATTTTAAAAAGCCAAGCATATTATGATATAGCATATGTGAATTCAGTTTATCTGTAGGCTAATTTTTTGTTCTGTAAAAACATAGCCTGCTTTGTGAGTTATTTGGTTTTGATAGCAGTAGTTCATTTTTTAATTTCCTACTGTGATTATGTCCGCATAATGTAGAGTGATCCAATTTTGGAGAATGACTAGTATACATCTGTCACTTTCTCTGGCAGGTGGAGTCCCTCAGGTATTCCTGACAGCTCCGTCAGGAACAGTTCAGATCCCAGTCTCAGCTGTTCAGCTTCACCAGGTAGGTCCAAAACAACCTTGCATTTTTCTTTTCAACTTTTACCCTGAGACTGCAGTCATTTTACTGAAAATGAGATACACGTGCAGGAGGAGTAAGTAGAGTATAAAAATTAATTGTAATTATGCTTGCAATTATTTTGCAGCATCTGATTTTTCCCCCTTTAGTTGTTCAAGACATGAAGATTTCATACTTCGTGTTCCATTTACAGAAGTGTTGTGAGCAGACGTTCATTTAAAACAGGGATGCCAAACTCGTGGCGCGTGGGCTGGATGCGTCACACCCTGGCCACGCCCACCCCTGGTTTAGCAAAGGGAAGGAGTTGCTATACGTCACCTGACGACAACGTGACACGAGTTTGACACCCCTGATATAAAACATGTGACTGCTAGCAGAAGCCTCTCCGTTTATTAACAGCAGCTCTAGTTAAATATACAGTATACTGAAACTCTGAGCTTGCGTGGCATGTGCTGCTCATTGAATATATAAACATGGCTTTTTGGCATCAGTGTTTTTGCGTGTCACTGTCCTTTATTAATTGTGATATGTACCATGAGGTTTCATATGCAGAGGTGGTATTCAGCCAGTTCAGACTGGTTCACCCGGTAGTGGAAATTGCGGGTGGGCCTGCCCGCCCCGGTTCTATGCTGTCCTATTTAGGTACGTTTTCAAGCCACGTACATGCATGCAAGCTGCGCATGTAATCAAAGCGCATGTACAGAAGCGTGAGTGCTTGTGTGGATAGGGCGCATGGGAGTGAAGCGAATGCGCATGCACACACAAACCAGTAGGGAAAGTAAGTGAATACCATCCCTGTTCATATACCTTTAAATTCTAAAAGATAGTTTTGAAATGTAAGTGAAAAAGGTAAGCTGGGATAATACCTTTGTGAGACCCAGGAGCAGAAGAATGTTTGGTGTTCGCCCATAAGAGACTGTTCCTCTCATTGGTTCTCTTCTCTCTGCAGATGGCTGTCATTGGTCAGCAGAGCAGCAGCACTGCCAACTTGACAGAGCTGCAAGTGGTCAACTTGGAGGCATCACACAGTTCCAAGAGTGACTGAGCAACTTTGGGAGGGACCTGGTGAGGGGAAGGGAAGACGTGTGTACCCAGCACCCGAACATGAACCAGCAGATGCCACCACCGCCTCCTCCAGCTTTATGCTGCATCTGGCCCTGGATCTATGGCACTCCTCAAGCTGCACGAGGATCTCGGCAGTCCCTATTTTTGTATGGACTCCATCACTTATTTATTGTTGCCTTTTACACGTTTTCTTCTCACACTTTACACTGACACCCCCATCCACAAAAGCACCCACAGAAGTACATAGATGCATATTAAAAGTGGCTTCAGGGCCAGCAGCAGGAAGCTGAGCCTGGGCTGTAGGGGGACTTTGTTACACTGCATTTACTGTTCTTTTTTTGGTTTTTTGTTTTCCTTCTTGTTCCAGCCAAAGAAATTTTCTCTCCTGAGTGGGAGAATTTGCTCTGCCATGTATAAAATCTTCCCTCTGTTTTCATTGCCAGGGAGGGAACTTTTCTCTCTCTTTGCCTTGCTGCTTCTGATACATAATAATGTCCTTGAATGTCCTTAGTTTGTAACCTCTAGGCAGAGCAATTGAGGCTGTGGGAAGAAGCTGCAGTCCAGAAGGGTGCGAAGCCATTCTGAAAAAAAGGTAGTTTTTCTTCAGGCATAGCCGTTATCCACACACACACACACACACACACACACACACACACACACACACACACACACACACACACACCTGGGACAGTCACCACTTTGCCCTCCCCCATTCCAGTTCAGGTCACTTCCTGGCTGCAGCTTTGTGCCTTCAAGCAACCCATGATGCGTTGTGGGTTGGCTTGCCATTATTCTTGGCTGGCAAAGAGAGGGTTCTTCCTGTTGGCATTCCAGCTGGAGCAACTGAGCATCTTGGATTTCCTTTTACCCTTAAAGTATCCCTCCCTTGGAATCTCTTTTTTTATTGCATAGGAACTGACTTGGAGCAGCTTCTTGCCCATTTAGTCTGGCTGTACACACATCTGACAGCCCAAACAAGAATTGTTTACCCATCTCCCTTTTTTCTTGGAAACACACTCAACAACTCATAAGCCCAGTAGCAGACTTTCATTTTGTGTAATGCTTGAGTTTTGCTGAATTTTTTTCTTTCTTCCTGAGACGGAAGAGCTACAGTCATGTTATAATAATAATTATTATTATTATTTTAATTTTGGAAGGTATAAAGCAGCCTTCCCCACTGGTGCTCTCCAAGATGTGTTGGGTTCCAAACTCCATATCCACTAGCTTTTGGCAATGCTGGGAATTGTCGACTAAAAGATTGGAAAAGGTTGATGAAGGCTAGTGCTAAGGAATGACGTTGGAAACAAATAAGGGTCGTTTAAAGAAAAAAAGTATTTAAACTTAACTCAGCAGGCTTTCCCAAGGCAATTGCACCCATGAATGAACTATAACCAGTCTGGGATACAATAATGTAACATAGCCTATGACATTTGTTTGCTTCTCAGATAGCCCTGAAATGAGATGGTATGTTGCGCCACCATCATGAAGCATGTTTGGCCTGCACCTGCGAGACCTACAGCCTGGGAGTGGGTAGATGGGATGGGGCAAGCTTAACCCTAGAGTATTTGTGATAAAGGTTCTTCTCATTTGTTTGTGAAGCCACTGCTGTGTCCACGTTCTTTAGATAAAAAATTATGATGCTTCAAACAGGTTCTGGAATGAATAAATATTGTAACACATTTAAGAGGGGAAGCTGCAGGACTGGTGTAATGGAGAATGGAAAGAGATGCGGAATTGAGAGGAAGGGCTGGGTTATTGGATCATTTGTTTGCACACAATCATGCATTTCATTCAGCCCAGAACAGGTCAGTGGTTCTTATAAACACTCCCCCCCTCCAAAAAAAGGGGGGCCAGCTTGGATTAAGGAGGCTGCAGACTTTTAGAGAAAGAAAGTAGCTATTCTAACTCCTTTCTTTCTTTTTTTTAATTAAAAGACAAAAGAAGCCTTGAAAAAAAAGACTTTATTTTTCTAAGTGTTAAACTCAGTATTTATGTAATTCTTAAAGGAATTAAAGTCTGGCTCCTGTACAGTTTTCATGGGGTTTGTAGTTGGGGCGGGGGGAAATGGGCCATGGGGCAGGGATGAAAAAAAAAAGGAAAAGAAAGGGGCCTTTTTAATTTGTATTGTAATATTCTGAAATTGTTTCCATGAACATTAGCGTTTAAACATGTCTCTGTCTCTAGCACTTGAATCATGCTTTGGTGGAAAGGTTGCACCAGTGGGGAGGAGAGGGCTTATACTAGGTGTGCAAAAAGTACTACCTGGAAGCCACATGCAATTGCATCAGCATTCCCTTTTTAGTGCCAGAGTCACACTCAGAATAGATGGAACTAAAGTGTTGGTCCTTTTGTCTGGTCTTGGTGCAAAGTGGAAATCTTTATCCCTATGGATGCTTAAGGCATCCATTTGCCATTTAAAATACCTTGCACCCCTTTCTAAAATGGGCCATGCCCCTCCCACTTTGGGATGCAGAGATCAATATGCCACACAAATCCTGGGATGGCCATCAAATCAACTGAAGTTGTGTATACCACTTTTGTTTGCATCTTCAGCTCACATGGGCACATTATAAACATGCTTTAAATGTACATTACAACCAATTTGAATTTACTGGTACTTCTCCATCAGTAACTTCAATAGTGAAGTTTTCAAGAATGTGCAAAAGTATCTCCTTGTTTTAACTCTCATTCCTTTTTTAATTAAAATGCAGGTTTTTAAACATCTTCATTAGATCAGTGATATTGGAAAGAAAGGCAGTTAAGGCAGATGAATGATTACTTTTTGCCCTCTAGCCCAAAACTGATACACACCTTATGGCAAAATATTGCTTGATTAACTGTCTTCTTCCATTGCCAGCAATAATGGAAAAGTGATTTGTATTCAGTGATGTCTATCCTCTGATGAAAACATTTGTCAGCAGAATAAATCTTGTTGAACCATTCGTCGTTGTTCCCTCCCTCCCCCAATTCTGATATGGAGTATTGAAGGATTTGCCATGCAAATGGAATTTTATCTATACATTGATAGCTGTTTTTTTTTGTATGTAGATTTTTTTTCCTCCAAGAAGGAATTTCTCAGCCGATTCTAGGAAGTTGTTTGGGATAAAGGCACACCTGCAAAACAGTAATTCTCTAATCATGTTGCTAATTCAAAAATCCTCTGCTGAAATAGAGACGAGAGGCTAAAATCAAGAATTATCTATTTTTTATGATACTGTACTTATTTTCTGATTGGGGATTCTACACTTGATACTCATCCTTCACCTCAAGGAAGTTCTCCCTCCTACAAAAAAAGCACCTGCAGGTTAAACGCTAATGTTGCATGTGATTAAAGTGTTGAATTGTAAGAACACTTATCAGGGATGAAATGGCATTTATTGTGTGGTGACATTTTTAGTTCACTTTACCGATTGTTTTTGGGTTTTTTTGTGTGTGTGTGCACGTGCGTGCGCATGTGTGCGCGTGTGTATGTGTGCGCGTGAGTGGCTGTGTGTGTGTGGTTTGTTAATTTCCAGGGTTGTGTTTCTGGAAGGATGTGACAGTAATCGCAGTACTATGTACAGAGCTTTCTTTTGTATTAAAAAAAATAATCTTTCAATAAATGTATCATTTTGTGCACAAACCTTTGTGTCTTAAGTGTTGCTTCTTTGACCAATAACTGCCATGAGTCCTCCAGGAGTATGCCAATGAAGAAATATGATAAATAATTATAGACTGGAAACAAGTAACTGGTTGCAATGATCTGTGTTGTTAACAGTATGCATATAAAAAGGAATAGAATAGAATACAATAGAATAACAGTTGGAAGGGACCTTGGAGGTCTAGTCCAACTCCCTGCCTAGGCAGGAAACCCAACACCACTTCAAACAAATGATTATATAACATCATCTTAAAAACTTCCAATGTTGGAGCATTCACAACTTCTGGAGGCAAGTTGTTCCACTGATTAATTGTTCTCACTGTCAGGAAATTTCTCCTTTGTTCTAAGTTGCTTCTCTCCTTGATTAGTTTCCACCCATTGCTTCTTGTTCTACCCTCAAGTCCCTTGGAGAATAGCTTGACTCCTTCTTCTTTGTGGCAACTCTTGAGATATCAGAACACTGTTATCATTTCTCCCCTAGTTTAATCTAGTTTTAATTAAACTAGACATACCCAGTTCCTGCAACCATTCTTCATATGTTTTAGCCTCAAGTCCCCTAATCATCTTTGTTACTCTTCTCTGCACTCTTTCTAGAGTCTCAACATCTTTTTTTACATCATGGCGACCAAAACTGGATGCAGTATTCCAAGTGTGGCCTTACCAAGGCATTACGTGATCTTGATTCTATCCCTGTTTATGCAGCCTAGAACTGTGTTGGCTTTTTTGGCAGCTGCTGCACACTGCTGGCTCATATTTAAATGGTTGTTCACTAGGACTCTCAAGATCCCCCTCACAGTTACTACTATTGAGCAAGGCACCACCTATACTGTACCTGTACATTTTGTTTTCTTGCCTAAATGTAGAACCTTATTTTATAAATAATTTCACAGTAGAGGAGGAAAAGGAGGTCGGTTGAGATCTAGGAGGGGGATTTTGCCTGACTCATGCTTAAAGTAGCGTGAGGTGAGAAGTGTAATCCATAGGTAATAGGTAAAGTCTCCACATCAAATTTACTTCTGATCACTGCATGGATGTATCTGCTGTTTTCTTGGCAAGAATGTAGAAGTGGTTCCCTGTTACCCTGGTTTGCTTTTCAGTCTCCAGCTTCTACAACTTTGGTGTCAGCCCTTCAAGACAAATCAAGTCAAGAAACAGGTATCGTAAGAACTCTTATGATTCAACAGAATTTTGAAAGCTTTATAGCATCTCTTAAAGCAAAAAAGAATCAAGGCAACGTTATTCCTGAGTTTCTTTTGTATGGCATCTTCCTTTCCAGTTGTGTTGATATTCTTGCATTTCCTCAAGTTTATCTACGTATTCCACACCATCTCCCTGGTTAGATTCACTCCCTTCTTCTGCATGTGAAAATGACACTGCCTCTCCCCCCCTCCCCCAGCCTTAAGTTCAGGTCACTAAAGAAAACTGGCCACCCAGACAGAGCTGGAAAATCACTCCTCTGGTCATTTATAGTAGTGGCAGATTACAGGAAGGACTGTATGGAAAAATTTGAGAGGGAACCAATGTACAAGATATGGAATGTGGACATCTGTTGTACTTTCCCATGACCTTTTAGATTCAGGGTAGTGAATAAGATACTCAAAACATCTGCAGAATACATTCCACTTCATATTCTTCTCTCCTGTCCATGTGGGGAGAATAGAAAGAGACAGTTTTGGAATGCATGGGGCAATGGTGAAATTCATTTTTTTTTTGCTATCAGCTCTGTGGGCGGGGCTTGGTGGGCATGGCAGGGAAAGGATACTGCAAAATCTTCATTCCCACCCCACTCTGGGGGGAACGATATTGCAAAATCTCTTCCCACCCCACAGTGGGGCCAACCAGAGGTATTTGCCAGTTCTCCGAACTACTCAAAATTTCCACCTGTTCTCCAGATATAACCTGCTGAATTTCACCCCTGGCACGGGGGCTCCTTATGAGCAAGCAGTGCCTGATGGAAGACCAGATGAATCCACAGAAGCTGGCAATGACAAATTAAAGGCCACTGAATTAGTTTTACTAGGTAACAAAAGGAGTCAAAGCTGCAGTCCAAATAAAAATGTAGTGGAAAGTCACACCAAATACCTCCTCCTTCCCCTGCAATTTTGATATAAGTGGTTATATGTGTCTGTTGCCTACCTGTATACAGATTTTGGCAAATATAACTGTTCCTGTAATATAAGTGCCTGTCTCTTTACATAAAGTCCAAGATACAAAGAACAAAAGCTGGGATTCCAGTAAGCAAAACACAGGGGTGATAGCCAAAAGCTGCCTAAAATATATGCATATGGAGAGTTATACAGTTGTTATACCCAAATTCTGCAACAGGTAATAGTTATTGTTCTGATAAGAGATACAGCATGTCAAATATTGTTCTATATTTAGTTCACCTGCTCCATTTGCCCATGTATTACTGGAAATCAAATAGTATAAGATACATAACAGCATTTAGAAAATCTGGTAAAAATTTCCAAAGAGAATGAAAGCAGGTTTATCTTGAGGTTCATTTTATGCCAAAGAGAATGAAAGCAGGTTTATCTTGAGGTTCATTTTTACTGTCTCTTCCTCCCCCTTTTAATCAAACCATTATTGCATTTCTTCTTCAAGGTTAGTTCCTTACTCCTTTGCATGACTTGGGGCTTCCTTGGTGAGTTCCCATCTGTATACTAATCAGGGCCAGTCTGCCAAGTTTTTATTAGAACAATTAAGATTGGTTAAATACCATCACCTGCTATATCACAACTATATCACCTACTATATACAACTATATCACAAATGGGAAGTGTAAAGCAAAATCACCTGATTCCTTCCCCATTTTTTTTCCATTTATGGGGAGAGGCACAAGTCATTTGCTAGAGAATTTGTGGATAGGGAAAATTCCCAGGATTTTTAATGGATTTCCAATAAATGCTATAGTTGGCCAGATGTAAAAGAGAACAAAACTCAGGTGTCTAACAGTTTGCCATGTAAGCTGAAATTCCCACTCTATATAAATAGTAAATGCACAAAAACCTTTTAAAAAATTGAACAATTATCTAAAAATATACTGGTTTGGAATACTTTGGGGTTCTATATTATAAACTGCCTCTTTTGGGGTGATAGATTTGGTGATTTGGTTATTTCTAGTGAAAGTAGACATAATTGAATCTGGCTGGTAATAGTCAGATTCTATTTAGGATATGTGAGATTTTGTTAGTTCACATATTTCTCTAAGGCATGGTTTGATTACCTGTGTTTATTTGGATAAATCACAATCAGTTTCATATGTTTATAAATGGTAAGGGCTGGATTTATTGTTTAATTTTTAATTATGTGTTGTCAAGATGGTATTAACTTTTTGCAACCATGCATTTATAACTTCTCCATGATATGTTCCTAACTTGGTCCTTCAAGTGTTCTACTGATATATCCATATCCAACCACATAAGTGCCCCCAGTTGTCCTCTTCTTTTCTTTCTTTCCACCTTTCTGACATTATGGACTTTTCAAGGGAGTTCGGTCTTCATATGTATCCAAAATATGGTAACTTGAGCATGATCATTTGTACTTCAAGGGACACCTTAAAATTGACTTGCTCTGTTACCCATTTATTGGTTTTCTTGGCTATCTATGATTTCAAGAGTATTTTCCAATACAAATTCAAAAGTATCATTATTTCTCTCCTGCTTCTTCAAAGTCCAACTTTTGCTTCCATAGTGTGTCATAGGGAAAACCATTACCTGGACAAGCCTTGATTTGTTTAGTCTTTTTCAAGGCTTTAATTGTTATTCCATCAAGTGCTAGCCTGTGGCATATTTCTTGAAAATTGGTTCCTTTACTACTGATAGCAAATCCTAAAAGGCAGAAGCTTTCCACTGCTTCAGTGAAGCTTGGTGATTGGTTGGTGTACTTGCCATTGCTGTAGTTTACTAGATAAGAACTCCAGGATTCAGTCTTTAATGTCTAAACCTGCATATGTTGGACACACTTTTCAGCAGTGCTCCAAAAGGATAGATATTATTTCAAGCACCCACCAGTTTAACTTCTCTGGGCATTGGATATTAGTCACTAATTAATTATAATAACAAATGAAAAGTGATGATACTTAGGAAATCTTGACAATTGTATTTATTATTAATTACTTTGATACTTAATAATTACTTTCAATAATATCAGCAAATATTGCGGGCCCAATTGGCAAAAGAAAGCTCAAGATCATATTGGTTGGAAACACAAAGAAGAAATCTTCATCCTGCAGTGGATAGACAACGGCTGAAATGACGATGATGACTTTGGTACACCCAAGACTGTTGAAGCATAAAGCAAGGATAAAGGATGCAGAAAATTAGAGTGATTTTCATTTCCCTCTTATAAGAGCCTGGTTCTTCTGTTGAGCCCTGACAATCACACTAATGCATTATAGCCAGAGAAAGGAAAGAGCATATGGTTACTGTACAGCTGTTCTTTATATTTTCCACTTTCTTCGTAATTTAGGAAACTGCTGTAAAACAAACATTCCCATCTGTCAGTTTATTTGCATACGGATTATAATACAGTTCAAGGTTTCCATATTATTTGACTTTATTAAGTACAATGTAATGTTCCAATAGTTAATCTGTGTCGCCATCGCGTTTATTTGCAGTAATGGCATAATTAAGTAATAAAACAGCTGCTGCAAACGATCAACCACAACAGCGTTTTTCCAACGGGGACCACAGCGTACAGCAGCGCGCAGGCTTCTTTCAGCCACAGTAGCCCAGACAGATCGAAGGACTCGCATCGAGGAAGGACTGACTCATCAAGACCACTTCCTTCCACGTTCTAACCCCGCCGCTTTAACCGCTCCCAAAATGTCCCTCGCGTGGATCCGTAGGAAGGGAGTCTAAAAGAGTCGGATCCGTGCGTGCACGGGGGCTGTTGCGCATGCGTTCTGACCACCCGGAACTCGCGAAGCGGTAGAAGTGGCCGGCAGAAGAAGCAGGGAGAGGCGCCTTGCTTCCCTCGATAGCCGGGTAAGGAGTGGGAGGGGAGGAGGGTCGTAACACGGGTTGGCTCCCGGCTTTCGTTCCCGGCTTTCGTGTCTTCCCTGGCTGCTTGTTTCTAAGATGGTCTCCGCTTGGCGACCTTCAGGGTTAGGCAAACAACAGTTCCCGGCTGTGCAGCCGAAGGTGGTTAGTGGCTCATTCCCCCTCTTCCGCTTTTCCCGCCCTTTCCCTCCCTTTCTCCTTCCTTCCTTTCTTCCTTTTCCCATTATGAAGAAGGGAGCGTGTGAAAACGGAACTTAGAATATTGCTCGTTTTCCTCTGATAACGGGTGCGGGCTGGGAGGCTTCTCTGAACACGGAAACAAAAAAGGAAGCGTGAGGAAAATTTCTACCGAAAACGAAAGGGCAAAAGTTTTTCTTTTTTAAATACAAGAGTACATTTCCTTGCTTCATTTGGTGAGTCAGAACCTATTTCGTATGTTGCGTGCTCGCATTGCCTCTACTGTGTAAAGTGACCGTATCAATGGCTGCGGCTAACAGGTCCCCTGCCCCCCCCCCCGAGTTATAATCCAGCTCCGTTTGCCAGATGAAAGGATGACTAGAGGCTTCCTAAAGAAGTGGCAGAAAGGTTTTCCATTCATTTTGGCATCTGAATGTGCTAAAATCTTTCTGGAATCCAGGCTGCTAAAAGTGGAGGAGATAGTTTATTTCCTATCAGTTCATGAGTCTTTGTAAATTATAATTCGTACATCATTTGCTGTACTATTCATATGAATCTTTGTTTTTTCTTCATTGGGTCTGTCTGGCAAACCAAAGTCTCTACTGACTTTTGAAATTTGAGCTAGTTTAGATAAATGCAGTTTTAAAACATTGAGTACTTAATCATAGATATCCTTAAGGAACTAATGAGATGCCAAAGCAGGACAGTAGCCACCCAGTGCATCATCCTTGTGTTTTGTAATATATTTTATACTGTAAGTATAACAATCTCTGTACATTTCATTTTTTAAATTTTTGATACTATTTCATTTTTTCTGTTTTATTTATTAAATTTGTTGGCCGTGAGCCTCATGATATTCCAAATTCCATCTGATCTGTGGGATTAAGTGATCCCTTTCTGTTGAAGTTCAAAGTTCAAAACACTCAACTGAGGAAATAAAAGTATGGAATATGAATCTGCAGTGCAGAGTTTGCTTTTCATTCTACACACCCACCAGCTGTCTCCAGACTTTAAGGAGTCAAATATGAGTCATATGTTTCACTGGTAGTGGAAGTCCTTATTTCTTCCGATAAGTTAATCTAGGCTCCATATTAAGTGCCACATTATTAAGTTTAGTGCTGAATATTCCTCTCGGCTGGAACCATCCAACAAGTACTATAGTAGTATACTTTTTCCCCTTCGGTCACTATAATTGTGACACACCTTTGTCTATCAGACATAATTTACAATTTAGCTGTCTAAAGCCGTGATGGCGAACCTTCTCGGCACTGAGTGCTGAAAAGAGAGCACTCATTCGGTCGTCAGGGCCACAACCTGGAAGAGGAGCTGCCCAGGTGACATTTGCATGCCGGAAAATAAACTTCAGGTTTCCGGCACTGCCGCATGCATGAAGGCGAGCTGATCAGCGCATGCACCTGTGCGCCAGAAACCCAGATGAGGAAGACAATGTCACGCATGCCAGACAACATGCCTCTGTGTGTTACTTCAGGCGCACATGCCATCGGTTCACCATCATGGGTCTAAAGCAATAATTTATAAACTGACCCAATTCTTTCTCACCATCTTAAATAGTATCATTAGCTCTACAAAAAACAAACCAGACTTTGCTTTAGAGAAGTGTCTCAGCAGTAGTGGTCTCAAAATGAATCCTGGACTCCCAATCAAACAATTACAAATTGCTCCATTACCCCCAGCCAAATTATCTCTTTGAAGTAATTAGCCCAGTTTAAAAATCACTGTTTTAAAATCAAACAAAAGTAATACAAACAAAAAATAATCAAACATTGTGGTACTCTGAGAATGCCCAGACTATTCATTGCTCCTCCTGTGGGTCCAGGCAGCGGTCTTTAAAGACTTTTCTTTATTCTTTTCTTAAATGCCAAGTCACTGTTGCTAAATTCCATGTGTCTTAGTAGACTCAGTAGTGAAAGTTTAATTAGTATTCTGGGTGGGTCTGTGACTTATATGGTGATAGCAGAAGTAGAGTAAAATAAGGGTAATGGGAAGATTGCAGGTTAAACATAAATTGAATCATCAAATTGGAAAAGTAAAAGTGCTCCTATTAGACAATTTCCTCAGTGCCATTTTACTGGAGTTCTTAAGTATATTTTCAACTTTTGAAGTTGCTATGTATTTTCTAACCCAAAATTAAATGAAATTTAAATGAGCAGGAAAGAGGAAGAATTGTCTTCATACAATTGTGTACTTTCTTAGAAGAAAGTAACAATGAGATTTTTGAGGGTAACAGGTGCTATTACCCTAATTATGACAAATATTTCTTTTAAAAAATCATTGAATGCAAAATTGTTTGTCACTAGAGTTCCAGGACAGAAATTTAAAAAAACCTATTACCTTGTTTAGAGCAAAATGTTTATATAAGAGAAAACAATTAAGAAATCTTGTAGGTAATGTCTCTTTAATCCAAAAAGATGCCTCTGATGTGTTTTGCAGCAAAGTTATTTATGCATTTGAAATAGATCAATGCTTCTAAATGCATCAAGTGAATGTTAATTATTTGAAAATTCCTTACTTGGTACTTTTCAAGCTGCATTCTAACTTCTTACACTTTTTTTCATAGATATATTTTCCATCATGGTGGGTGAAAAGAGGAATGGAAATCTTGGGTCAAAACTACAAGCTTATGCGGAGGAGCTAATCCGCCAACGTCGTGGACACGATGGACATACTGAATACCTGATTCGCTGGAGCATCCTGAGTTTAGATGACAACGTAGAAAATGCCACCCAGGCTGCTTCAACCGAGAACAAAATGGATAACATTCTTATGTGGATGTCAGCAGAAGAAGTTTATGCTAATTGTCCCACACTATTGGGCAAGAGGAAGCCTGAGGGGCAGCGAGTAAAAGAAGAGAAATCACCTAGCACATTCCCATCTGATGTCACAGTGGATGAAGCTTCCTTACATGAAATGAAGGCTGACGTCAGGAACCTGGTACAGCGTGCTAATCGACAGATGGCCAGGACAAGTGGTCCAGAGTCCTCCATCCTTAATACTGTCCATGTGCTCAGTGCTTATGCCAGCATTGGCTCATTGACAGGTGTCTTTAAGGAAACAGGTGCTTTAGACCTGCTGATGAAGATGTTATGTAATGAGGAGAAGCAAATTCGTCGTAGTGCTGGCAAGATGCTGAGAGCTTTGGCTTCTCATGATGCAGGTGAGGTTGCCTATTGAGATGTATGAGCTTTCTTACAATAATTCAATCTGTTTTTGAGTCTTGTCGTCATATTTGAGAGATATATTAAGGTATATTATCCTGAAGAAAATCAAAACGTTTCCTACTTGGCATATCTTTCCACTCTGCTAATAAACAGGCTCAATAATTTTATAGCCCCAAAGAAACAGTGCAGAGCATCTGCCAGCGAGGTCTTTGCTGCTATTTTCTCTGTAAGCATTTTTTGTTTTGTTGCCTTCAAGTCAGCCTTGGTTCCTGACAACTGCTCGGGCATGTCCCTACGGTTTTCTTGGCAAGATTTCAGAAGAGATTTGCAATTGCCTTCTTCCTAGGACTGAGAGAGAGTCACTGGGCCAAGTCATCCAGCAAATCTATGTTTACTCAAGATTTGAATAAAATTGTTGGAATTAATGGAAAAAGTTAATCACGACTAAGGCTTTTTGAATCCAGTGTCTATTCTAGGGCCACTCCCAGATTGGCTCTTTACTCATGCAATTACAGCACATGCTTTTGGGCAACAGATTATTTGTTTCTACCTTAGCAGTGATACAAAAATAATAGTTACAAATATAGTTCTTCATCTAAACTGCTGGAACTTGAAGGCAACAGTTTCTCTTTAGTGGGAATTTTTTTTTTTTTTCATTTTCATGAATGGCTGTTCCAACATGTCATCATGGTACCATTTCGACAGTCTTTATAAGTGAGTAGGGCATTTTTGGAATCCCCATTCATATTGATCAGTTATATTGATCAAGTGTCATAAACTTGGGATAATTGGCTGGTTGCTGATTTTTGCATTCCATCTACAAATCTCATCATCATGTGTCTTTTGAATATGCTATTTTAACTATGGATATTGGAGCTATTATGTTTCTTATTTTCTTGTTATTTTTCTCATTATAGTATAGTAATATATATATATATATATATATATATATA